GAATTTTCCAAAAGAATGTCTCTTTCTAAGCATAAAACATTTAGTATCATTCTCAACATGGCTTGGAGAAATGCTACGTTGATATAAAAGTTCTTTCTAATTCACAACATTTCACCACAGCGCCCCATCCTCCCCAAAAAACTATTTTAAAATGTTCAAGTAGTTTCTAAAAAATATCATACATTTAGATGGAGCTTTTAAATTCATTATTTCATTTGATCCGTTTAAGTCTGTGGGATAGGCAGGTGTTCCGCAGGAAAGGATAAAGAGTCAGAGAGGTAATTAGTAGCGGACTAAACACTCCTGCAAGTAAATAAGAGAATTTCTTATTATTATCTTACAATGGAGTAATGTTAGTAGTGATTCTCACTAATAATTTAATACGGAGCCTGCATGAAACCAAATAGCAGTGCCCACATGCATATCTCAGACACCAAAACAAAGTTAATACTAAAAGGTATCAAATGACCACAAAGATATTACATATGGTACAGGCAAAAGAATAGTATAAATAAATCTAAAATGAAATATATTATTCTTTCAAAGGGAGAGTGAAATAAAATGTATGTTTTTAATAAATGTTTTCTTTAACTTATACATAGAAAAAACACCTAGTAAAAGCAGTCAGGGTCAAAGAGATCACAGGAATGAGTTAGCAGGATGATAAGAAAGATAAGGGGGCACAAATCTGTTCACATAAACAGTGATAACCAGTCAACTAGCTTTGTCATTTATTCAATCAATATTAACTGCATAAACCATGGCCCAAGTTACTCTAAGAAATATTATCATAAGTAGGAGAAAATTCTTGCATTCAAGCAGCTTACAGCCTAGTTAGGAAAATCATACAGACACACAGATAAAACACCCATTCACTGATTCAACATTTCCTGAGTAGTTATGGGAAGTCACTGAGTATGGCACTGTGAGAAATACAAAAATGAATAAAACAGAGACTTAGCCTCCCAGGGAGTAACAGTCTGGTACCAAATGATAACACAGTTATACAGGTTTTGAATTGAGAACATGAGAAGGTCCAAATAAAATGCTATGTGAATTTCAAGGAAGGAGAAATGATTTCTCACTGGGAGTCTAGGGAAGATGACAAAGAATAAACATTTGAAATAAAGGGAATGCAGGATTTAGGCACCCGCTGATTGCAGAGGAAAGACATTCTAGGCAAGGGCCAGCTATATGTAAAGACACAATTCATTTACATACATTATATGTATGTAAAGGGAAGAGAGAGGGGGCAGTAAGTACATAAGGTTTTTGGGAAGGGATCCCAGATTATGTAAAAGAGTTTAGTGGGAAGGATAGGTAAGTCAAATCAGGGGGACTCAAATGGGAGTCTAAATATTTTACATGGTTTATGGTACACGGGATATAAGAAAAGGTACAACACAGAATATCAAGAAGAGTTCTAAAGTCCATGATAAGAAGAAAAGGAAATTAGGTTCATAATTAGAGAGCAGATAATTCAGTTAAGCCTAGAAAGGCAGATATAATTCTGACAGGCTGTTCCAGATTATTTAATTAATGAAAGCCATGATTCAGACCAGTCAGTCCAGCAACTCTGATGTCCTTCCCTCTAAGTCCTGGAAGCTGGCTCAATTTTGGTATTTCCATATATATTAGCTCTGAAATGACATTGACCTAAGTAAAACCAAACCTTGGGAACTAAACCTTTCACACACACACACACACACACACACACACACACACACACACAAAATCACAGGCACTCCCCTTCACCACATTCTCACATCATTTTAGATAGGATACTTTCATTTTTCACGATAAATTAATATATGTTCACTGTAGAAAATCTAGTCTTTCTATTGCCATTAATTTTAATATTGACCTAATAACCCACAGTATGAGTACTAACACCAATAGCTGCAATTCTATCCTGAGAGCCAGTGTGCCTGGAAACTAGCCAATTGTCTAAGACCAGGATGATCAGCCCAAAGATAATATTGGTCTTTCCAAGAATCACTTGAGGCTCTCTCTCCTCCTAAAAGCCAAAGGAGGCCACTTCTAGACTGCCTCCAGACCATCCCTGGAATGTAAGAGTTAAAGAAGCCCAAAGCAATTTCTCAAGAGTCAGAAACAAAACAAAACAAAACAAAACAAAAAACCAGTACCATAAATACCAATAGAGACCACTGGTTGGATGCCCATCATGTAGGGGTACACAGGTTTAGCCATATTCATAAACAAATTTGTTTTTATCTGAGATTACCTAGATTAGAAAAATTTCAACTTAAATGGGTTTGAAGGGACTAAAACTGAACTCAGAAAATCACTGAGTCAAACATTGTTGGGTTTTATATGAGAGTAGTTTGATATAGAGGTTAAGAGCATGAGCTTTAAATTTAATTTGAATGGATATGAACCTCAGCTATAACCCACTGTATCTGTGTGACCTTGGGAAAGTTATTTAAGCCTTCAAAAATTTAAGAAAATAGGAATAATATAACACCTGTGATAAATATATGGAAGACTATCATTAAATGGCATTTTATTAATAACAGGCGAACATCGAATGTCCTTAAAGAATTCATTTGTTTTAATTATAAAAATATACACGTTCATTATAGAAAATTTAGACAATATCTGATAAACAATTTCATTTCTATAGCCCGGAAATAACTAAACCGTCTTTAGTACTTGGCCCTCTTTTTTTTAATGGATTAGACATGGGAAGTGAAATATAAACCATCTTTAGTACTTGGCCCTATTTTTTTTTAATGGATCAGACATGGGAAGTGAAATATAAGTTAATATAAATAGAATTATAGAACACTAGAAGTTTCATTTTCAGGTTTCTTCCCCTTAGGCCGAGATAAAGCAAAGCAAACCAGGTATGGTACTATTTTGAATGTTTCATATTTATTCTTTAAGGCTCCTCTCCGTGACATGTTTTACAATTCCCCTCCAACCCATGATCTCTTCTTCCCTGATCCCCCATCTCATGGGGATTATTATCTCTCATATAGCACTTCTCATACTCTGCATTATAGCTATCCATATTCTTTTCTTACCAGCCACTCTCTCCCCCTGCCCTTCTCTCTAATTTATCTTCAAGAGCTGAGCTTTTAACCTGAAGAGTGAGCCCCCTAAAATTATCCATAAAAATCGTGTTTCTGTAGGTACAAATACATTTTCCTAGAGAGAATCTACATATTCGTCCAATTCTCAAAAAAGGTCTGAGACTCAAAGAGTCCCTGGAACTTGTGATTTAATGACCTTGGACCCTCTACAGTGCTTAGCGCCTACCTTTATATGAATATTTGTTGATTTTATTAATATATCATAAAATCAATGTTAGGTTTTTGTTTAATACAATCTCTTAAATAATGTGTTCCTCATTTCTCATTCCTCCATCTTTATACTGTTTCTGAAAGGAGAATGGTGGTTACCAGGGACTAGAAAGAGGAGGGAATTGAGAATTACTGTTTAATATGTACAGAGTTTCAGTTTGAGAAGATGAGAAAGCTCAGGAGATGGATGGTGGTGATGGCCACAAAACAATGTGAATGTACTTAATGCTATTGAACTGTTAATGTATATTTTACTGCAATAAAAAAATACTGCTTTCTATTCTCATATAATATTAATCACCTATTACACGGCAGACTTTCCATCAAAGAAAAGGAATAAGAAATACACTGGTTAAACTTTAGGATATAAGAAAGAAATTCTCCAAGGAGAAGCATATCGTAACCCCAGTGTACACACTGTTGGTTTTAGAGTATAAGCACAAATTAAAACAGGGTGATACAATCATAAATCCTGTCCAAACAGAAGAGCTGTTAACTGAGTAAACAAAGGTAAATTGCTTAGGACCATCAGTTTACCTGTGTGAAGCAAATTAAACTTTTTCAAGGTAACAAGTCAAACTCAAGGAATAAATTATAATTTACCCCAAGTCTATCAATGTATTATCCACATGAATAATGTATGCTTTTCAGTTATCAGCAATAGGCATTTCAAGGTAGCTGGAACACATTTTATTCAATAAATATTCAGTGAGTAGTCCTAAGATTGAGAAATATAAAAGTCCCAAAACTACTTAAAAAAAGAAAAAGCAGGCTATGTAGTATGCTGATTACAAAAAGGAGGAATTGTTTTCCTATGTGACTTCACTATACTCCCATCTCATTATTATAGCTTGCCTCACTAAAAAAAAAAGTCTCATATTAATGATGCTATATTAATACTTCCAAACGATGTATATATCTTATCAAAAACCTAGATACTAAACCTTCTGATGATAAAATGTCAGTGATATCTCTTGGTTATTTATTACCAACAAATATTGATTTGCAAAGACATTTAAAATTCCATTATTTTTCCAAAAAGTCCTTATATATAAGAAAGAGTTATCTCTACTTCAGTAGAATCTAGGAAAATATTTAGAAACAGATTCAACATAAAAGCTAACTACTATTCAAACTGCATATCATAGAAAAATATATCCATTACCATATTGTAGTACCATGTATTCAAAGTAAGCTAAAATGTTTATTGCTCTCTTAGCTTTAAGATTAAATAATCAGCAGAATATAAAATTTTCCCACAGTTGTGTTTACCAAAAAAAACAAAATTTTCTAATATTTACTCTTATTCTGTGGCATTTACTCAATAAATATTTTCTGAGTGACTACCATGTAGCAAGCACTATGCTATAAATGCTGGACAGCTGTGAAACAGATAGCCACATTCTACCTAAATAATACTTAAGCACTATTGCTTTTCTAGAACACAGATTTATATCACCATCTTTGAAAATGTCTTTAGGGTTTTTGTAAACATATTCACTCTGTAAACATATTTTTAAAATTTCAATTTATGAATCTGATCTCTAAGAAAAATTTAGAAATGATTATGCTTGTTAAAACATAAAAATGTTTGCCTGTCATAAGTTTGGTTTTCTGTATGGCAACAGCAAAACATCAAAGACAGCACAAATTACATTAAACTTCGAGATTTACCTGAAATGGGAATATTCTGTGAGACTGATAATTGTACATCTCCAGTTCCTGGTGGCATGTCAACAACTAAATAATCCAGTTGACCCCAATCTACCTAAAAACCAAGATGACACAAATAAATCACTGTATAACAACTGCAGTGAATAGTGATGTAAACAAAAATATATTAATGACATCTAAAATAATAGCTTCCATCTGAGAAATTACTAAATGTCAAGGACTGTGCTGAGGATAGATATAGGAATGATACAGGAATAAATGAATGAATAAGAGAGTCCCTGACTAGCAGACCGTCTCTGAATAAGGTTAAATTTCTAAATGATAGCCCTTTGTCCTTTGGGTTTTTGGGGGTTTTGTTTGTTTGTTTGTTTGTTTTGGTACAGCATTTCTTATGGAAGATCCTAATAGAAAATGTTTATTATTTTTCCTTTATAAAACACACTAACAAACCAAAAATTAATAAGAAGAAAAATTTAGAGATGTAACTAGAGTTCCAAAACTATAATACTTAGATTCTTTCCAGGTATTATTCTTAGCATCTATATCTAAAAATTCAGCTATATAACCAAGTCCTCAATGTTCAGCCTCAATTTAGACAGGTCCCAAGGGTACCGCCGGCTCTTTTCTCCTCAGATGGTTTTCCCGCTGAGTCCTCAGTCTCAGTGAAGGGCCTTAGGTTCCTCTCAGTTTCCAAAGGGGGAAGCCTGGAATCATACTTAACTCTTCCCTTTCCCACACTATGCAAGTCACTTATTCTACCTTCTAAAGATCTTTCAAATATATCTACTTTTCTCTTCACCCCTGCCAAGAACTCAGAGGAGGCCACAACCATCTGTCACTAAAGCCTCTGAACCAGTCTCTCTTCCAGCATTGCCCATCCAGGCTAACACCATCTAAAATGGAGTCTGATAGTGCCATATTTTTTGTTTAACACCCTTCTATTGCTGTTAGGATATAGTCTGAGCTTAAGTTCCAGAACATTCTGCTTGGTCTTCTTCACTTGCTAATTCCTCCTCATTCTTCAGATTCCACCTTGAAATTTACCTCCCCTAACTTCCATTAGATTGGATTGAGGTGTTCCTACTACGTATGTCTTCTAATCATTCAATCACTCAACAAATATTAATTGAGTACCTACTATATATTAGGCATTGAGCTAGGTACTGCTAATTAAATAGTATCATGGCCTCAAAGAATTTATAATATAGAGGGAGACATATATTAAGCACAATATGAAATAACTTGTATAAGTGTGAGAAACTGAATGAAGATCAATATAGCCAGAGAGCAGTGAGTGAGGGGAAGGGTGGCATTCATTCACTGTTGTTTCATGATCTTCTTCTCATGAAACTGTAGCCGAGTTAGAATACCCAACACAGAATGGACAAACTGGGGATGCTTAATAACTTTTCTTTCAAGGAATGAATGAATAAATGAACACACATGCAAAGGTTTGATAATTTTTTTACATAAATAGAAATCACACTGTGTATATAATCTCATATCCTACTTCTTAAAACTTAATAATGTGAAACAAGGCTTTTCCATATAATCATATATTTTTAAAATTAAAGTTTAGAAGATATTGGGTCAAATGTATTCATTAATGTATTAACAATTTATTCAACACATATTTATTGAGAATCAACTAGGTGCCAGGCACTGTCCCAGGTGATAAGGATAGAGCAGTGAGTAAAAAAAAATTCCCAGCCACCACGAAACTAACATTTTAGTGAGGAAAACGAACAGACAGAAAGACAAACAGATCGGACAGTAAAAGTGCTATGAAGAAAATAAGAAGTATCCCTCATTATACAAATTTATTTGGTTCCTGATTCAGATAGCCAGATCATATAACAAGAAATATTTTTAAAATCTCTTCAATTCCTTAATTTCAAAAAGCAGGTAGTAAGAGTTCAGATAGCAAAGGATTTATCAAAGAATTTCTTTGAATTGCCTCAGTTCCCAAAGTTAGATGGTGAAGAACACTTAAAGTGTAGGGGGAAAAAATGGAATGGCAAAGGTGCTACTTTAGACAGGGTGATCAGAGCCCTAAGTTAAGTGATGCAGTTTGAAAGCATTCCAGGCAGGAACAATAGCACGTGCAAAGGCCTTAAGATGGGGATCTGCTTGGCACATTCAAAGTATAGCTAGGAAGTCGATACAGCCTTTCTAAAACAGTATCCCCGCCGCCCACCCACCCCCACCAAACATCAATCTTTCTCCTTCTCTTTGTTTTTCTTTACAACATCTAGTAGTGGTCCCCAATCTCTTTGGCATCAGGGACCAGTGCTCCTACGCGAATCTAATGCCTGATGATCTGAGGTGGAGCTGAGGTGGTGATGCTAGAGCTGGGGAGCAGCTTCAAATACGGATGAAGCTTTGCTCATTCACCTGCCGCTCACCTCCTGCTGTGCGTCCCAGTTCTTATAAGGCCATAGACCGGTACCAGTCCACAGCCCAGGAATTGGGTCTGCTAGCAAGACCAATCAATGTGATTGGGGTGGACCCTTGGCCCTGGGGAATCAGGGAGGAAAATCACTGCCGAGAAAGAGGCAGAGCTACATATAGCCTGCTAAAGTCAAAGTAGTAGCTAGGAAGAATAAACATCTAAAGGCAAGAAAAAGGTGCAACTAAAGAATATAGAAATCATAAAGCAGGAGAAATGGAACAAAGTGTAGAATGTATCATTTAAAAGTGGGCTGTATCCAGGTAACCCATTCATATGGTGCCAGGAATATTCCCTAAGTGATAAGGGAAATTCTTAAAAGTAGTTGGGCTGGGCCAGACATTGCCTCTTTCCTTCCTGTCTGCTCTTACTTACTGACTGAATAGTGGGTTTTGATTCTTATGCCTACTTGACTCATAAGTAGTAGTTCTCAATGTAGTGTCCTTGTGTCTGATTCTGGCCATATATTTGTTGCTACTTCTATCCTATACCTAATTTCTGCCATCTGTCCTTGACTTCTTGGTTCTCCAACTCCAGTTAGGCACAGTCCTGAACTAAGAGCAAACAGATCAGTACTTGTGCTTCGCTCAGAATCCCAGACATGAAACCATGGCACTACTGGCATAGCAGATGTAGATGAACTTGTCTCAGACCCACGGACAAATTTGTCAGTCAGATTACCAAACTTCTAATATTTTTGATTCAACTAACTTCCAGGATTTGAATGGTTTTTCAAGCTCTAAGCATCTCTGGACTCCCTCTCCACATCCAGTCCCCTCCATAATGCCTAATCAATATCCACTGAGTCAAGTTGCCCCTTACAATTTTATTATACTACTAAAATTAAAATTTTTGCCATAGGAGACACCTTTTACATAGAATATAAATCTAACATAGAACATAAAGCATTTTTCTTTAAGTCAGAATCATAGTTTTTGCTCTGCTCAGTGGATTATATAAAATCATGCAAAATTTTACTTTCATTGCAAGAAGAAAATGGCTACAAAGGTGAAATTATTTAAATATAAATACCACAGTAAAAAATCTAAATAACAAAAATATTTCTACTTGACTAATGACTTACTGACTTGTAGAAATAAATTATACAACAAAATGTATTAAACTTATCCTTGAAATTGTTTTGATAAGAGCTTGACCCAGTTATAAAATGAGAACACATCAATTAAGTTATAACAACGATGTATATGTTCTTCCCTAATATTTTCATTTTTTTTCAGATGATAAAGTTCTCTAATCCATTTTCAAATGTCTTCTTTTCTATAGGAAAAGGGATGGGGGGTGGGGCAGACCACTTGAATAAATTCCTTCAAAGTCACTACCAAACCAAGTGAAAGCAGTAATGTTTTGAGAGAGAAAACAAGAGAAACTTTATTCTTTATCTTTCTGTTTATCATCATCTCTAATTTCCTTAGTTGTTCTAGCAGAGATATAGAGCGGACTGGCCCTGACAACCTGGAAACAGCATCAATTCACAAAGAACTTTTCCAAAAGTTGATACATGGTTCAGTCCATCTTTGGTAACTCTGTACCTACTTTCTGAAATAATATTTAAAAGATTAGACAATTCCCAGGCCAGCCCACAGATGCTCATGTTAACCCACAAACAGTAAAACTTTATCATATAAAAATAATGATCCTACCACAAAGTAACAACATTTAAGGTATTATGGGATAGAATCCTGCTTTAGGCCAACTGTTTTGCTTATATGTACAGACGTTCATAACCCAGAAAGTAGATATTAATGAAGGACAGAACTGTTACCAAAAATACCTAAAATACTACAAACCTGTCTGAGAATCAAGATATTTTTATTTTTAAAAAATTACAAAAAGAAATTTAAAAATAAAAACTTCCCCTATTCACCTAAAGACTGAAACTTCAGATTTTTTTTATAGTTGTAGTAACTTTATTAATCTAATTTGAGACAGTTTATAAAATATATTAAGATGTGTAGTATTCTCTTTAATAAGAAAAACTATAAAACTATAATACTCTCTTTTAAAAACCCTTAGAAATAATATTGTATTGGGAAGGATTCAAGATCCTAAAGGGGCAGGATTAGAGCTGCCACAGAAGCTGCACGGAGCCCCATGGAGAAAATCCATAGTCATTGTCCAGTGCTTTTGATGGTTCTCGGGGACGTTATAAAACTGAGTGACACTACTGCTCTGAGAGAGACAGATCACATACATATAACTTTTATTACAGTATACTTTTATAATTATCCTATTTTATTATTATTGTTATTAATCTCTTACTGTTCCTTATTTATAAATTAAACTTTATTAAACTTTAAGTATGTATATATAGGAAAAACATGGTATACATAGGGTTCAGTACTATCTGTGGTTTCAGGCATCCATTGGGGAGTCTGGAACATATCCTCACAGATAAGGGGGGACTACTATATAAAATAGAATCTATAGACTAACAGAAAACTATTTGCTTAGAAAATATAAGTAAGAAATAGAATCATTCATTTCTTTTAATTTTTTTCTTTTCTGGTTAATTATAGTGATGTTTCTTTTATTTCTGAATTTTTTTATGTTATGATACAGTATACTTTCTATACATGATCCTTGAAGAGTCTTATATTATAAAGCAAGGGTCCTAGTAACCATGG